CTTCCCGGAATAACTGTGGGTTTGGAGATGAGTCCCTGATTTGTTGGCTGATTTTTTAGTTATTTTGATGTTTTACTTTGCTAATATTGTATTTTAACTGATCTTCTGTTTAATTCTGTTTTAAGGGGAAGGGAGGGTGGGAGTACGGGATGAGGGAATGTTTTAACTTTGTGCTATTTTAATTATTGTTGTACCCCGCCCCGATTGCCTTGCAGAGGGGTGGGCTATAAATAAAAATTTATTATTATTATTATTATTATTATTATTATTATTATTATTATTATCAAACCTTGAGCTGGGAAAAATGGGATTCTACTCTAGCCAATCCTATTATAGGAGTATGCGCCTGCCAGCAGCTGCCTCCAGAATTCCTCATTCAGCATGCGTGAATGGCAAAACAGAGAGAAAAGGAGAAACCAGATAAGCCTCTTTTTACCAGCTACACCAACAAGTTAAAAGAAGATAAAACTATATGTTTGAACACTAAAATGGAAATCAGAAGAACAGTGGAGGCTGGTGAAATTTTTAAAAAAGTCATTCTTGGATTCATTATGGAAGAAATTTTTGAGTGGTTTCTTGAAGGGCCACGAAACATATGGAAGGCGTAATCTCTTGTTAGTTTTAAAACAAAAGGTTTGCTGAAATATGTTGAAGTCTTGTCTTCTTTGCACTGTAGGAACCTATCCCTGTCCCTATTCCTATCTCAATCCCTATCTGCTCCAGGAAACAAAAGTCTGTGCTGCGGGTGAATGGGGTACTTCAGATGACATGGCTAGCCACCTCCCAACCTTGAGCTAAGTAACTGAAAGATAGGAAGAACTAGTTGCATGATCCCAAAATACCCCATACCATAAACCCAAACTTTGCTCTTCCAGATATTTGGAACTTCAGTTCCCAGAATGCCTGACTCTTGGCCAAGCTGACAAGGGACTTCTGAGAACTGAAATCCCAAACATCTAGAGCAGGAGTCATCAATCCTCCCTGCACTCTCCGGTCCTCTGGGAGGAATTTACTGCAGACTCAAAAATCTAGGCTTGCGGCTACCTCCCAGAGGGCTTTCTCAGTTG